TATTTAATTCTTTGCTGCCACATGTCCGATGAGCATGAAGTCTTGGGTCTGGATAGTACAATTGACAGTAAATTCGTATCGATCACACAAACAAAAAATGAATTAGAACTCAAAACTCCGAGGTTCCACAAAAAGCTTCAAGCGCAAGAGGTGAGATTATCGTACTTTGTCCCAAAACATAGTGAGTTCGAGAAAGACACGGGATGCCTCTGCCCAAACGTATTTGAATTAAGAAGGACAGACTGCCTTCCAAAAGAGGTGTTCCCAAGAAGAGAGCAGCCGGGTCACTCGGGAGATGGATATTGTATTGTCTACTAAGTACTTTAGAAATATTATTCTATGCCACTTGGAAGGGAGCAAACCAAATTAGGATTACAAGCAGCTTCTACATCACGCACTTACTCAGGTCACACCATAATCATAGCCACATAGATAACATAATTGTGAAGAGTGCTGCGACGGTAGCGTCTGGATTTCCATAAAGTGCCTGTTATCGGGGTGTTTGGTTGTCAGAGCCACCGAAAAGATTGCTTATTTACGACAAACAGTATATAAGGTCCATAACAATGACAACCACATTATTCACCATAAGAACCCGCCAGTGCCTCATAAGTATCCCCGTTACCAGGACAAAAAACATTGAAAAGCCCTGAGCAACAAAAACGCAGCCGTATTGGAAAGACCAATTTCGGTTTAGGAACGCACAACAGTCTTGAAAGTTGTGGTATTTTTTCTGGTCATGGGCAGCTAGCGGCTTAGGTCGCTCATGGTCTAACGCTCCCATAAAGTGTAGATGATCGGGTTTCAACTGACGTGGATAATCACCATATCAAAATGGAAGCCACAAGCTCGCAAGATCAGGATTCAGCCATACTGATCATGGATCTGCATTTGACAAAAAACATGAATGAGTGCCCATACCGCAGCTAGATGGACCTCTTGAGTCAGACAAGATTTGGCATGCATGGAGCTAGGGGTTGATGAACACCATTTTAGCTATGCTCCTGCATGTTGATTGTGGGCGTACGAATGCCGATTCTTCTCGGACCGAGACATCTGTCACAAAGGGTGACATGAGGAAGTCAGACGAGTGGGAAACCCTGATTGGAAGCTTAGGTAGTTGCAGAATTTCAGGTGAGAAAACTAACGGTGAGGAGAGATTCATTTAAAAAGTCACCATGTTTATCCACAGATGTGTTTGAAGAAAAGTGCCCAAGCGTTACTGCTCTGAGCTTCTTAGTACAAGGGATTAAATGAAAAGACAGGGGCACACCAGTCCCCAGGGACAAAATCTACAGTGAGCGAGAATGGATTGATGAGGTTAATGAAGAAAGCACAGTTTCTGATGGTTGCACGAAGTCCGAATGCACATACGATTCACATAAACCAACGGCTGTGAGTAGGGGAAAGGTAACTATGCTTAGTTGTGATCACAATGACTAAGACGACTGGATAATCGAGCGAATACCGACGCGAGTTGATGGAACGCTGTGAAGAATGAGATGCAAAAGGTCGCATTCCGAACAAACGCACTCCGCCAGAGTTGAACAATTGAGCAAGACTGTGGTAACATGCTAAGAGAGTTGAGAAGAATCAGAGGAGGATGAAATTGAGACATGAAGTAACCTAACAAGTTTCGTGAACGTCTAGGTCGGATGGAATAGGTCGGACGTAATAGTCAAAGCGTAATTCTATTCATTACCTTCCTTTTGATCCAAACATTAGGATTTCATCGACGAGGTCTAAAACTAATTCAGTAATTTCGTTCAGCTATTCCGTCAGACCATTTTTATCAAAGGGGAGAGAAACGGCGTACTGATACATTCAGCAAAAATGAGAACAATTCTCTCGCCTCTCTACCAAACGCAGCAACTGGCGTAGACGGCGCCCACAGGAGACGTTGAATAGATTGCAAGCCACTTTGTTTGTATCAAGCACAACCATAAGCAAGTAACCGATGAAAACCGTTGTTTACAGGACTTGGTGTCGCCCTAGGTCAGCTGCTATGATATAAGCTCCTGTTTCAATCACAAGTTAACGGTTGATGATTGCGAAATGTTTAGACTAGATGGTCAATGGCAAATGTTTAAACTAAAACTAGTGAAAGTTTATTTGCCATGTGGGTGAGAGTCATCCATTAGTGGGGGGAGGCTGCGTGTTTTGGGAAGTACAGAGTAATTTTTCATGTCATATGGGGCACGCCCATAGATGTTTATTAGTGCTACAGACCTGTTGGAAACGGAAAGAACGGGCAGCATTCCAGTTGCAAATTTTAGAACCTAGCATAGAACCGCACTCACGATACCCAGCCATCAGCACAGTGAAACGGTTATTTCCCCTTCATTGTTGCAGCATGTGAAGTAACCAATATTTCCGGAATATTGGATAACCTGCAATGCCGTGCTCGTGTTACTGTGTGAACAATCTATAAAATGCATAGACTCAAGTGCGTAAAAAGGATCAGAGGTATTCTTGGGATACCAGCCACAATGGTGGCTTACCTGACGGTTTTTCTAGGCTTCCAAAGGACAAACAGCAGTAGGTTGGTGCTGTCATAGAAACTACTACTGGGGAATAGGAATTCGGTTAACTGGTACCTAATGTAAGGAGATATCTCAGTTGTTCCAAACCAGGCTTGAAGAGAATTGACAGTAGTGGTGTCTCTCAAATTTTCGGTTGGAAAGAGGTCAGAACAGGGAGGATTTTAAAAAAAATTAGCTGTTGACAAGTGAACCCCATTGGAGTTGAACTATTCATGGCTGATTGATACTAACGGGAAATCAAGTGGCGCTGCGACTAGGATCATTTTAGCATACATGGCTGAAGAACGACTGAACAGGTTATTCGCGGATCAATACAGATATCAAAGCAAACAGTTCGTGAATGATCCGCTGTGAACGCACAAGTAAGCATAACAACATGATAGGAAACAAATCGATCCATTGAAGAATATTTCGGACTTCCATTAACAACACTATTCTCCCCTTAAATACAACATTAGTCGAACGACAGGAGGGACCAGATAGGGGTTCCAATTTACTCAACTACCTTAGATGATATGAAGGAGAGATTATTTCACTGCGGTTCTCAATGACTACAAATTAGCCGTCTCCAATAATCCAAACAGACACTTAAAAGTCACCAGTTTATGGAAGGTGATATGATAACATAACACAGCGAGTTAACTGTAAATAGTTGAATTCGTAAACTATTTCCCGCATATCAGGCATTGTTCTGTTACAACTCGGTCACGATCGAAGGCATTCACTTTCTTTTGATTTTCGCCCAAGCATCAGTGACAAAGAAAGTGGATTCAGTCTAAGGTTTCGTTTAGAATAACCGGAGCGAAATCCCAGGACGGCATTTCAGACGACCTCAGTGGCCATTCCGTTTTACCGATGAGATGATGAAATGATACCCTACGGAGTTGTCCTTTCAAGGATAGACTACAGATAATACGATTCTGAAAACGATAGTTCCCTAACCAAGGCTTCGAAGCTCCCGCATTAATTGAACAAAGAAAAGTACTGGTAAATAAAACCAAAGACACTGCGATAAAGCACAGCATGGAAGTTCAAGTTCCCTAGTTCACTGCCAAAGAAGGCAAATCCTCATCCCGAGTGCACAGAGTTATACTATTTTTCTCTGGTGCGTTTGAGAGTAACATTGTGAAACACTGCGATTTCTGAAGTCAATGGTGGCAAGAACAAAAACGGAAAAATACTATCGAGCAAAGCGTCACGCGCCTTTCCTTCACTTAGCTCGATACGCTGTACTCACGTGATGAGAACAAATCAGGAAGAAATACATAGAGGATATTTTTCCTCTGTGTCAATAAAACTTGGATGCACAGCAAAATCGAGTTTGTTCTGGGGCCTTGCCGTCCGGCTGAAGCGTGGCCCAAATGTACACTAAAGTATATGACCCAAATTGTGTCAGAGTAGCACAGGACTACTAGCAATTCGAAGCTCTTGCCAGTGTATTCCGTGAAGACGAACATGTTCAACTGTGTTGTTAATTTGCTATGAATAGGTTGGGAAAAATATAGGTCTGAAACCGCCTGTCAAAATTTCCGCTGAGACGTGACATTGTTCGGACAACTCGGATTGGTAGAACAAGATAATCTACACACCTCGGACCGTTGACCGATCGGCCACAAAACATGCGTATATGCAGCAGCAGCTGCCACTCATTCATCGAGATGGGTGTGACAACCTGAAGAAAGTCACACTCATCTAAACGGCTACAGGATGGAAAGTTAAACACCTATAAACCATGAACCTCGTATATTTCTCACAACACGATACAGATAAAATGGTGTGAGCAGTCAGGTATTCAAGGTTCGTGAGCTGAACACAGGAAGGACGAATCTCGAAACGGAAGTTGGTAATAGATTGGCAGCACATGAATGAAAGAGATGAAACCTATTCCACCACTCACTTTTTGTTCCGAAATGATTTTCGAATAGAAGCACACCCAATTTTCCGTGATGTACATGCGTCCCTGTTGCAACAGTCCATGGTTATTCTTTGACAGGGCACAAGAATAGTCTGACATGCAATGGTGGGGTCAAGTGAAAAGGTAGGGCATGAGGACCTTGAAAACAACATATAACAGGCAAATCGAAATCGAACGGTTCGGTCTGCTTTCGGGCCATGCCCGATATTCGACGGACAGGAAGCCCATTGCCCAGACAACATAAATTAAACGGAAGACACGGAAGACCTGGACCGGAAGTTCAGAAGTTCATTCTCCAAACAGTTTATCACTAAACCAATATCAATCACGCTTGGCACTCTTCGGGTGTCCAAATGTATAAAAACTTGAATGAAAGCGTGAGGGTTGCTATACTGTTCAAGCATAGAAAGGAGCAACTTAGAAGCCAGGGATGAAAGTGGACTAGTTGTTTCTTGTAGCTTGCGCACCAATCCCTGAACCACCTCGAGCGCTATTAAAAGGATAAGAAGTCTAAGAGATGATTGTTCCAAGGCGCATATCATTTACACATTAGACTGAATTGAGTTCATGTGGCTGATGACTCACCGCGCCAGAGAACACAGAACATCCCGGAGGAGTATTATTTCACTAAAAGTGTCATCTTCCGAGCCCGGGGGGATTCGACTGGAGGTGCGTAACAATTTGTTCCTTATCCCTACGAAATAAATATTGCAAAGTGCCCACAATTCCGACTACATATTGCATGAAACGAGCAACGTTTTGACATCTTGCAAGAAAAGGCTTCAAAACACTCACCGACAAGAAGTCGCTCGGTATCTACTGGAGTTCCACGGAAAACTCTTCGGAACTGTTCAAGCTTGCTCTTGTAGGAAGGCGCCAACGACTGAACGGAAAAGAGCAAACCAGAAAGTAACATGATGAGCCAAGTGTAAGCAGTCGGTTGTTTTTGATGACCAATCAAAGAGTAAATGTAACATGAATGAAGAAATTCTCCATCTAAAAAAGCAGATCGGATCCAGATTGGACCAGGGCTGATGAATTGTGCAACAGATACTTGCAAAAAATCATATGACTAATACAGTAATTCGACGAAGAACAACTTTCATTTGAGTTTTCATTGCGCCAATGATTTCAATCTATGCCGAAAATCCGAGCAGTTCCGTACAGCTCTTTTACCCTTCCTAGGAATCATCAGCAGTGCGATCTCACGAAGCCCGATTCGAACTCATGACCTCCCGGCTAGTGGTTGAAGTTCGTCATATTGTCCACGAGTAGCGATTCAATCAAATCGCAATTAAAGAGTGTAGCTCCACTCAGCCTTCGATCACACAATGAACATCACAGGGTCATGTGCTGATGGAATCCTCGAAAGACAACGAAGACAAACTTCGAAGCGATACGGAAGTGCAAGTGGCTGAGCTGGTTCGAGTCAGAAATAATCGGAAGTGTTCGGTGGATCATTTGGCTGTGTGAAACCGGAATTTACCTAATACAACGTTGTGGACAAATATGGAGAATGAAGAGAGATCACGGATCCGTACTAGTCGGTAACAGCATCCACCGTTTTAGGTTTATGTAAAAAAAGATTTGCAAATCGATAGCAGGGTGAATATGCATGCGATTAATATAAGCTCGTTTAAAGTCCAAGTATCGAGCTGATTTTTTGGCTTAGCCCGTGTGCAGTGACATTCTTCACCGAATGAGATCAATAGACAGGATTCAAGCGCTATTCCTAACTTTCGCAGGGACAAACACGTCCTAAATGTCCAAATAAAAGTTGTTATTGATGAATACACAGATGTGAAAGGTGTACACGTAAGTGTCATCACGGACGATACAGCCCCCCACACACACATATATATATATACACACTAAGAAGCACCCAGAATCAAGTTGGAACAGTTCAATTTCGAACAAATGGGGGTATAATTTGCAAATGAAAATATACATGTCTGCAGTGTTCCAAGCCACGTGACAGACCGGATATTCAACGAATGGTAACCTGCACTATCCAGTTAGAGTGGCCCAAAAACCGTTGAAAGTGAATCACAGGCGAACAAAAAGGCATCACATCATGATCTTACCTGGGCCTCTTTAGCGGTCAAGTAACCCTTGCGCATACAATCTGCTAGATCATCCGTAAAGTAAAATGGGTAAAGCCGGTCCAGAGTCCGAACAGTCACCATTCGCATATCATGTCGAGCGGAACGACGTTTGATGCGACCTGATCGTTGAGCTTTCGTAGGGCCCGGTGGCATCAGGCGGCTAAAATTTAGTCAAACTGACTGACTACAAAAATCTCGCGCGAAACCCCGCCCAACTAGTAATGGAATTATCGCACATTAAAACAACACCAATGAGAATATACACAGGTTCCCGCAAACATATGACTCGTTTGATCTCGTGAACCGACAACTTTTTCGGCCCTGAAACTCAAGTCTTTTCATTCCGAATTTCAAATTTGTCATGTACTAACTTTCGAGTTTGTGTGTGTGTTCAGGATAGTCCGTACGGGAAAATATTCCTTCCGCAACGTTAGCGACCACAAGGATACCCAACCAGAAAGAGTACACATTATCAAACAGATTGGCTTGAAAGAAAAAAGAAAGCGTTCAGCTGTGCCTGGTGCCCGGTGCCTAGCTGCCATGCCACCCGAAGGAAGCACGAGGGCTGGGATACTGCCAGGTTGCCCAAGCCTAGACAGGGGAAGTCGAGTGGCGGAGGTCGGATTCGAACCACGGACCTTCCGGTCAGTAAATTCGCGCTCTAACCACTTGGGCCGTCTCGCTTGATAGAAAACAAATCGGTCTATGTTGAAATGTATTGCAATAAAGACTGAGTCGAAACTAGTACAATGAACCGATCCTCCTAAAGTGCTCACGTGATCTCATTTTTCCTCATTATTGAGTATTTTATAGATTCATAAAGAGGATGATTTATAAAGATGGTAGTTTGACGACCATCAAGCATGATGATGTCTTGCTCATTGAGTATCTGGGGCGTTTATTCTCGCCGAAGTAAAAAAAAAACCCGGTCGCACCCTGACAAAAGCTACTGAACACATCCACAGACAAGTGACTGTACATAACGACCATGCAAAGAGGACTTAAAAACTATCCACATGAGTCGCCCCTCTAAAAAAGATGATCTGACGAGGATACATTTTACAATCCGTTGGCAATGTTTCCCCATGCACGAGGTAGGTTATTTAAGGTGTAGGAGAAGGGAAAACTATGTATGCCGATTTGTAATTCCGTCACTGGAATTATTTCTCATTTTGAATGATTGGTTTCTAGACAGGTACAACCCCACGAAAAATCACCGGGTACTCAGCTGACTTAGTGGGAGCATATCTCACGCAGTGAGACAATGTGCACGTGGGGCGAATCGCATGTCACGGATGAACAACCACTGGTCACTTCACAAGATCGAATAAAACAATAGATCTAAATGGGAAAAAATGTCAGGATATTGGGACAGTGCACGCGATAAGGACCTATGCAATTCACATCCTATGTTTGAGCATAATTTAAACACACCACCGAACGTCCAAACCAAAGCATTGGTGGCATGTTACTATCCGGAAGTTGGTAGCGTAAAAACCCTTGTGAATCGCACGCTACAGATGAGTCCCGCGCTCTATAACCGTACACAGCGATTAACACCACTAAGGATTTGTCTTCAGGCTTGTGTTTAAAAAGGATTTACAAATCTGAGCCCCTAAATTGCAAGCTCATGGTGGAAAAAATGCAAGGGATTGCAAGGAGATAGTTTTACTATCAACCATCAAAACAAGCGAAATATGAAAAAATCTATTACAGAAAATCCTTTGAATGTAAAACACCGAGGGCCTATCTGCGGCAATTATGTCTTGTAGTTCAGCTTATGTTAAATAAGGTCCGGTAAAGCCTCAGTATACAAACAACCGCAAGGACAAGAAACCAAAGGTCCCTATAATAATACATCCGCTAACGCGAACTCGCACAAGGAGTGTGAGGCTAAAAAGAAGGACGATCACAGCCTATAGTGTTTCTCTGGCTAAATTATTATGGAGGGCCTCTTCAGTGACGCCATGTGCATGGTTTTGTTCGCCAGTTAACCTGGTTTGAAACGGAAACAAAAATAGCCGTCGACCAGTGCACGTGCTGTCATTCTTGTGCACGTACGAACTGATGCTGAATAGAAATGCGGACAGGAAACCCCAGGACGGAAGTGGCATGGCTCGCAAAGTAGCACAAATGGTTCGTAAACAAACGACAACACAATATGTAGGAACCAGGTTTATGACTTCGAACATAAGTCAACGGCATTTTGAATTCATGGCAATAACGATATACAACAGTTTTGTTATGAGCACGTATGAACAACAACGGCCAGGTAAGTATACTCGCCCACAATGGACAAGTTTGACAACCTAGTTGCATGCCTTTCCCAGGAAAGAAATGGCCGCAGGAATGCCTTACGTTCAGCGAAAGAGAACTACTTTGTGACCCTTGAAAGCTCGGTTTAGTTCAGTTTAGCTTTTTGAGCCTACAAACCATGCAGCGAATACCGGTGGTTCCAGCTGGTACTGCTTCGTGAACCAATGATAAGGAAAATAAGGCAATGAAAGCCACACAGAGTCATGAACACGAAGGAAAACAGGCTTGAATGAACTATTTTAGCCGCGGGAAACGCGGATAAACTGATAGCCGGAATAGACCAACTAGCCCGAGTTGGGAATTCACTTCGATGGTATAAAGTCCACACTGCTACAAGTAATAGAATGAAAGAAATTGGATGCCCTGTCAGTACATTATTCGTCCCAACCTCGATGAAAAGCATTTAGTACATAAGCTCATGACTCCTCCTGGTAAGTTTCAAAATTGTTATTCGTTAGACAGAATTTTTCGCACCAACTGGAGTGGCGACCCAAGATTTTCGATGACATTGTATACCACTAAGTAAGGTTATTAGTTCAACGCGTTAAACCTGTGTAACGATAGCCAGGCAGTATCATCTGGGTCGTTAATAAAATGTAGTTTCAGCGCCACTCAACAAAAAGAAAAAAAGAAAACCAGACAGCTTCAAACAGACGATTGTTCTAATATCCTAATGATATGAATTAATCGGAACTGAGTAAACAGCGAGTTGTCGTGCATTAGTTCAATTTGTTTCTGCTTCATCAGTTTGACTAAAACCGTAGCACATTCGAACGTTGTGCATCCAAGGTTAATCAACAACCGGTCAAATCAAGCCGAAAAAGGGCCTGGTGATTGTGGCAGAATAGCTCGCCGGCAGATCTATAACATTAACCGTTCAACATGAATCGACTAATAAATGCGAACCGATGATGATGGGTACAATACCCCTTCCCCCGAGGGGAGAATTAGTCACCCTGTGAAATGAGACATTCCCACTGCGGCTATGGAGAATCTTACGGCAGTGAAGCATCGGTGTTGAACACTGATATCACGCTGTCGACGATGATGATGATGGAGAGTCTCTGATGAGGGGAACAGCATTCTGTACCACCCAATTTGTCCCCTCAATGAGACTGTCTCGTAGTGCAGTAAAAACTGCACCCGGATTTCAACCATGTTCGCTTGCTCGGCCTTGGGCCTTAAAAGTAAATGAAGGGTAAAAATAAACTCTCGGTGAATGTTCATGAAGCTTAGAGGAATGGAAACTCCAACAGAACCACTTAAAGCGAAGGCTATTGGGCTTCTCACAAGTGAATGAGCTTAGAAGTTTAAACCGAAAATGATACGATAAAATATACCACCCTTCAGTCCATTAATTAAAGGCTGTGTGAGCTGGTGGGTCACCAAATGTGTACAAGATAGTTCAGCGATGAGCAGTTTAAAGGAGAGAAAATATTGATCGCGAAACGTTAAAAACTAATGTACGACAAACGACTTATTCCACATTGGCTATCCGTGTTTTCTCTAATGAAAGCGATGTGGACACTAGCAAAGTGAGGCTTTGTGTCAAAACAGACAAGAGAACCTGAGTCAAGTGACGGTGTTCACACCCACGGAATTTTCCAAAGGTGAGGTTCTACTGTGCTAATTAGCCAGCTGACAAAGTGGACACGAAACAGAACATACTTCCAGTTTTGAGGTGCAGCTTTCCTCAAAGAAAACTAAGAATATCAAAAATGAACCTAAACTAACAACTGATTGAAAAATAAACCAACAAACTTCGACCTAAAATGAATATGGTTTCCGTGGGAAAAATTACAAACACGAAGTCTTTTCCAAAAAGAATTGCTGATTAGTATCGTCCTCCCTATTCTGAGGAAATTCAAAATCAAAAACCGAAATTTCCAACCGTTTATTCTGCACCAGATAGTTTTGGTGTGAAATTTATCACTAATGAACCCCTTTGGAAAATTTAATTCGAGGGGTTCGAGAATAGACCGGATTGACAGGACAGAGAGACTGGATCCATGCTAACTGCTAACAGATACTGTGTATTGAAGTGGTACATATTTCAACATAATGATCGAATTCTATTCCATCGCAAAGTTATATAGCCTCGCCTCCCAGATGTCTAAAAAGCCAGAAGACGTGAAAAAAAACGGTCCAATTCAACGCGACGAACGTTGTTGCTAAAAATAGTGGTCGAAAAATTTTAAACTACTTATTAGTTACATTCACCAATGATCGCCTTGTGAAAAGACAGCCAAGCAAATACAGTGAACGGGTGGTCATGATTTGCTGAAATTTCCAGAACCCAATAACCCTCGATCATCGACAAGCAATGAATATACCCGAAAAAACAAGCCGCCATTTTGCAAAATTAGGGGATATTATGTTATATCAGCAACCATACTCGTCGAGACTTACTGACAATAAGTTTTCCGTGGTGTCGATAATGGTGATGATGGGTGTAGGATAAACTGGCGCGTTTATTTACACGATCAAATGGCCAGCTGCCACAATTGGTGCTCCGCAATGGAATTCAATACCGACACAGATGTTTGTGTGTGTCTGTGTCTGACTGAGGATGCGCAAAGGTGGTACAAGTTCACGTTGTCATTATGCCGACTCACAAACGCATCCACGCCGAGATCGGAGATCGAACACAATGACTTGAGTAGCCATACACAACAGGCTGAAGGATCACTATGAACTTTGGCGCTATCATATATGGTTACACGAGCACACACGAAAGCGCACGTTGGCGCACGAGCACGCACATTCGTGCCTGCGCGAGCTGACAACCAGACAGATGAACACAAACATATAAACATGTGCAACCACCTAATCACAAGTCAACGAACGACTTGACAAGTCAAGAAAAATTCCACCACGTGTACGATATCCGATGATACGGTGAAAACGCTGAAGAAAAGAATTTCTGTATGCATCACGTCACAATAAGGATAGTGGACTCCACATGGGCTATTCAACGGAATTTCTATGAGTTAACAGTCCGCCACTGAGGCTCGAAGGGATGCAGCATTATGACAAGACTTATTTTCCACCAGAAAGTTACCCAGGGAGGTTCAGTGGATGGCCGACCGACAGAATATCGATCACGATCTGTACCGTCATTAAGGGGGTCGTTCCCTTGATCCATAGGCAGCTGGATCGGATTTAGATAAGTCTATATGCGCGCATCTTTCCAGGGCAGCATTGAAGAACCACTTGGCATAAGAGCATAATTTTACACCTGAAGTAACAGAGAATTTGATGACCCATCCACAACAACGTATTTATTTAAAATGCAAAACATTTCTAGGGTGGAAAATGGCACCGTAATAGAGGGAACTACATACCGAGTAGGATTATATCTGATTCTTAAT